TTGATACATAAAGATATGTCAAGGCTAGGAGTGTAAGTTAGTTGGTAAGGGGCTTACCCGGCATGCAGGAAGCCTGTCTAATCCCCACACCACAGAAACAACGGCAGTAGCCACAACAAAAACCAGACATGGCGGGGCGCGCCTATAATCCCCACACTCAGGAGGTAGAGGGAGAGGTTCAGAAGGTCAAGGTCATCTTCTGATGAGTTTGAGACCATAAAAAATTTAATATGATCAGTAGTAGGAAGACGTTGCTCAAAATTTTTATTTCCAAAGTGAATTAATTAAAAATGTTGAGAATTCTCTTATGTTGTATTTAACTTCCAAAGTTTAAGTTCTTGAGGACTAGTGAGATGGTGTGGTCAATAGAGGCCCGCCATGCAAGTAGGAGGATCACCAGAGTTCAGAGCCTCAGCAGCCATGTAACAGCCAGGTGTGGTGGCACTCATCTCTAACCCCGAACTGGGGCTGGAGTTGGGAGGGACAGGCGAGTGGGGGAGAGGAAGACAGGTGGGTCCCTGGAGCTTGCTGGCCAGCCGGTCTAGCCAAGTAGTGCACATGTGATGTAAGACCTCGTCGCACAAAGTAATGTGGGAAAGGATAAAGGAAGATCCTCGACGCCGGCCTCTGGCCTTTGCATGCAGGCACTTGCACACGTATTTATATGTGAGCATGAGAACATGCCTACAAAATCCGCCACTTCCTTCCTCCCTTCCTTCCTTCAACCCTTTGCAGGGCGCCTACCATGCTCTTTCTCTTTCTTTGTGGCCTCTCTTTCTTGTGATGTAAATGTAATCTGCTCAGTCTATATAATTTTACTTGTGTGTACGTACCATTTAGGGCTGACCACTTGGGCTTGGATAACCAATTGGAGGCCTCCTCTCTGGGGAAGACTATTTCTCCTGCTCTCGGCATTGCTTTGCTGCATGTTATTTCTTTTTCTAGGTTTGGGGCCCCATCAGATTTCCCCTTCCTTGTTACAATGTCTACTGATACCATCCTCGCTCACATCGTTTTAGGTAGCCATGGTGTTGAGACTTACTGGGTGTAGCTTCCCTGACATTTTGAGGAGACCCGATCTCACAGCTGCCTCTTTTGGCTCTTAGAGTCTTTCTGCCCCTTCTTCTGCAATGATCCTTGAGCCCCAGGTGCAGGAGCTGTGGTGTTGACATATCAGTTGGGGCTGGGCACCACACTATCGCTTGTTCTCTGTTTTTTGATTGTTTTTCTGTAATGGTCTCCATCTGTTGCAAAGGAAGCTTCTTCGGTGAGAGGTGAGAGCCATCCTCATCAGCTGATATAAGGACACATATTTAAAATGTAATTAGGGGTTCTGCTGGCTTAGTAGAATTTCAGCTGTAGCTTTTCCTTCACCATCCATGACTCATTGTCCTGACTAGCTGACCAGTTTCCAGCACCACCCGTGATTTCCCTCTTGCTGAGTGGGCCTTACGTCCTTAGCCGTTGGTTACTGCCGGGATATGCATGCCACTACTGAACACTTACGGTTACTGTGCTGTACAGGTTGTTGTAGTTCATAGCATCGTAGCTAGGAACAAGTATTAGTTGCTTCTCTCCCTTGGGATCTTGCATGGCACCTTCTGGTTTGTTGAAATCTAAAGCTCAAGGAGAAGGCTCTCAAGTTTAATCCAGCTTGGATCATCTAAGACTTGTGTTTGAAGTGCATGGTGTCTTCAACAATAGGAACTTACCTTAAACCTCTGGGAGGGAACCCGGGCAAAAATAATAACTTATAATTTGGGAGAGTATCTTGGGTTACTGTGAGAAACAACTGGAAAGGGAACTTCTCAGGCCTAGTGTTGGGGGTTTTGTTAGCTAGCCTGTGGCTAGAAGCCACTGATGAGAGAAAACATTCAACACTTGTTTTTCCAGTTCTTGTTTACCTCACTCAGCATGATCTTTTCTAGTTCATCCATTTACCTATAAAGTTCATGATTTTGTTTTTCTTTACAACTGAATAGTATTCCATGGTATGTATTTACCACATTTTCATTATCCATTATATGAACATCATTTACTTTTTTTTTCCTAGCTATTGTGAATAAAACATCAATGAATATGGTTGAACAATTATCTGTAGAGTAAGAAGCCTAGTCCTTTAACCATATGCTAAGGAGTAGTTAGTTGTGTTCTCTGATAGATTTAGTTTTAGCTTTTGAGAATTCTCCACACTGTCTTCTAGAGTGTTTGGACCCATTTGTAATCTTACTACGAATGAAGGTTCCCTTTTCTCAGTATCTTCTTGTGTACTCTTTATTGTTTTCTTAGTCTTCACTATTCTGACTGAGGTAAGGTAAATTCAAAGTTGTTTTGACTTGCATTGCTAGGTACTATAGGTAGTTTGTCAGACATTTATCTCCTGCCTTAACTCTCTGTTAAGATCCTTAGCCCATTTTTTTAAAATGTGTCCTTTTTTTTGTTTGCTTTAGGCTTTCTGTCTGTCTTTCTGTCTCTTGTTTCTCTCTGTGACTCTGTCTTTCTGTCTCTGCCTCTCTCTGTCTCTCTCTTACCTTTGAGGCCTTCAATTTTTTTAATTTAATTACTTTACAGCCTGACCAGCCCCCTCTCCCTTCTCCACACAGTCCTGCCCTCACATCCTTTTCCCCCATTACACCCTCTACTTCTTTTCAGAAGGAGGGAGTCCCTAATGGGTACCAACCCACTTGGCACCTCAAGTCCCAGCATGACTAAGCACACCCTCTTCCCCTGAGGAGAGTCTCTCTTCTGTTTTTAGTTCTTTATATATTCTGGATAGTTATCTGTCAGATGGACTTCCTGCAAAGATTGTCTCCTATTCAATGGGCTTCCTCTTCACTTGATTCTCTAACTATACAGAAGCCTTTTATTTTTATGAGGTTCCACTTGTCGATTCTTGGTGTTCATTTTTGGGGGAAAAAAAGTCCATTCATATACCTATATTGTGTAGAATACTGCTTATGTTTTTTTTTCTGCAGTCTTAGTGTTTTGGGTTTCATAGGTCTTTGATCCATTTGGAGTTAGATTGTTGTTTTTTGCTTTTTTTTTTTTTAAGGTGATAGATACAGATCTATTTTCATTCTTCTACATGTAGCCATACAGCTTTCCCAGCATCATTTGTTGATGATGCTGTCTTTTCTCCAGTGTCTGTGTTTGGCATCTTTGCCAAATATTAAGTGGCTGTAGTTATGTGTACTGATGTTTGGGTCTGTTTTGTTCCATTGGTTTACGTGTTTGTTTTTGTGTCAGTAGCTTATTGTTTTTATGACTATGTCTTTGTAGTGTATCCTGAGGTCTGGAATGGTCATCCCACCACATTTTTCTTTCTGCTGAGGATGGTATTGAGTGGTTTACAGAAGCATGGGCATGTTACTAGTCAGCGACATCACTGAAGAAAATGGAAAATAGCTTCCCTGCCCCACAACCATTAACTGAATATAAATCCTCAGGGAGGATTGGAGCCTAATGAAATCTTCCTCAGTCTGTGATCTGCTGTTGGTCTTGTGCATATTTCATGTGGGCACTTGTAGCCACTGTAAATTGAAGAGTGCAATGGCCATGCGATGTTAGGAAGTCAGTATTCCACATTTTTATTTTCCCGCTGCCTCCTGCTCTCCCCAGCTCTTACGCTCTCTCCACCCACTCCTCCAAAACGATGCTGGAGAAACTTGGAGGGGGTGACCCAGATATCTCATTCATGGCTGAGCGTTCCGCTGTCACTTAGTTTCATCCTTTTGACAGTCACGAGCATCTGCAGTTACCACTGTCCAGTGTGTCACGAAGCCACAGAGGGTAACTAGTGGGAAGTATGACCTAGATGCATTATATAGGCGTATGAAGATGTTGTAAAACTCCTTATGAATAATTTATACTAATACGCAAAATATCTGTGATAAGAACTTGTATATAAGAATAGGAGGGAATGTCTATATTCTTGTAGATAACATCTAAATATTAGTAAATATCATACTTAGCAATATTAAAAGTTTTATTTCTAAGAAACTGATAAAGATTTTTTATACTGCTTGTATAGTATAGTCTTTTGAAGGTCATTGCCAATGAAGTAAAGCAACAGAAAGAAAGATGGAAAGAAAGAAAGGGGGAGAAATAAAAAGAGAAATAAACTAATACTTGAACGACAAAATAAAATTTTATTGTTATCAGATATTGTAATTATGTGCATCAAAAATCCAAAAGAATATTTGTATAGTCTGTGAAGATTGATGAATACACAATTAACGCAAAGAAACTTTCTTCCTATGCTTCATCAACAAAGATGCAGAAAAATTACATCTTTTACAGAAGCTCTGATTTAGAGTGAAAAGTGTAGGGTATCACCTTTAAGATGTGCTGTGGGGTAGGGTCTTTATTTCTGAAAATCTTCCAGGGCATATGAACAAAAAGCTGGCAAAATTTATAGATAAAAACACAGACACCCAAACAAATCTTGTTGTAGCGTTAGATAAATACCTTAACTCTCTTGCACCTCCATTTCTCCATCTGCCAATCTCAGATAAAAAGTACTATTCTAATGACAAGTTACTATGATGATTTAAAACAGAAGGAGGAGCGTCTACTTGGGAGACTAAGGAGCAGAAGGAGCTCAAGGTTAAGGCCAGCATAGGCTATAACACCCCATCTTGGAAAAAGAGTAAGAATTTCCTGGTTATTGCTTTCTTGTTACTTGGTATTTAAAAAGCTGTTTGGAATAGTTTTTATGTTTCTGTGAATTTTAATATAGACACATAGCTCTCTCACTTCATTCAGTCAGATGATAGGCTGGGCTTCTAACCATTTGTAACTTGTGCATCTTTAATATTGAGCAGTTGTTTGAGCTTTCACATGTACATATATTCCCTTTCAACATTAAAGCACAGTGTTTGTATGACAACAAACTTTGCTGTGGCTATGAATACTATACCTTCTTGTTTTGTTCTTTGTATTTCATGAACTTACTCTAAACGTTTTAGTCCTGCAGTTTTACTAATTGTTTTTTCTTTCAGTTGCACCACTGTGTTTTCTGTATCACGAACCTTACAAATTGTATCAGATATTCCGTGAGATGTATGTCCGCTTTTTCTTCAGACTCCACTCCATCTCCTCTCATCCTTCTGTAAGTTCCTAAGTTGGATCAACTCAGACTCTAAACTGTTCTTTCCTTAAAGAAAGTCTCCTTCTTAAATTCCACAGCAAGGAATTTTAATTTATGGTATCAAATAGTGTGTTTCTAGAATTAAGGAAAGAGAAAAAAAAAAGTGATGTTTAAGTATTTTGCAAAGTAGAGAGGAAGACATTTATTAACTCAATTTTAGCTTTCTGTGTTAAAATAACCCATGGGTTATCTGGATTCTCATCCTTAACAAAGGTGCCTAGTTCTTTGTTGAGATCTTTATCTGAGGAGGGAGGTTGGTGAGGCTATCTGTGCTGCTGTGGAGAAGTTTAAGGAGCAAGCAAGGAAGGACTGGCTGCTGCTGTGCACATAAATAGCTACTTTCTTGTTCTTGCTATAATTATCATTATCACTTTATCTTTTAAAATGAAAAGTGAGCATTTATTTGTTTTGTAGCCAATTATCAGTTTATTTCACTACATATTTTCTTCGTATTTATCCAACTCCTACTTGCCCACAAACCTTGGCAAATGCAGCGTTTACTTTTCTATCAGCTTTTCCCTTTCGTGTTCTTTGGTCTTCCTGTGGGTATCCTGCCTAGCTCAGTGTGAATACCTGTCCACTGGAAGGCAGGGCGGGCCTGCCAAACTGCTTAGCGAGGACTGTGTTCTTCTACGGTGGTTTTTATTCTTCCATTTACAGCAGTTTGTTCCTGCTCCACTTTCTTTGTCTTCAGTTTTTCCTCCTGCATTACTGGGGAAAGTTGGCAACTAAGAAATTTTAGATGTCACAGATAAGCTAACAAATCATCTTGAGAATTGGATTTAGTTATTATTTTCCATTCCTATTTAATCTAGAATAAACAGAAAGATAATATTAATAGTTCTCTTTCCTAACATCATTCTCAGGATTACATTCTCGAACCACATACACATCCCACACACACATTGCCTTGCACACCATACATGGATATACATACACACAGGAACACAGGAACATATGCACACTCACATAGATATTTTATGCCTCAGAGTTTTGGAAAAACAACTCTCTGGAGAGTAGCTGGCCATACCTTCCAGTCCCACCCCTTTCCTTCATTTCCTGGGGGATTGACTGGAGCTCTCTCATCTTCAGGCTTATGCAGTTTCAGACTGACACTGTTTAAAACCATGACAGTTAGATACTCAAAAAGAGGGTGAAAACTTCTGATTAAGAGCAGCCCAAGGAACACTGAGCCACAGAAAAACTTTATTCAGAGTTGCTGAGGAATAAAGGAACACACTTGAAAAAAATACTTGCTTAAATTAGTTGCATCTACTTTACAAATAATGCTTCTTTTTAAAATGTAGATTTAGTAAACAAACAACTTTTATTCTGAGTAATCAGATATTTTCCTCTGATAACTTCTTGGTGTGATTCAAAGAAGTGAGGAAAAAAAAAAAAAAACAGGAAATGTTTTTCCAAAGGGTGAGGCTGGAGGCAAAGAGACACATGGAGAGAGAGAGGGAGAGAGAGAGAGAGAGAGAGAGAGAGAGAGAGAGAGAGAGAGATGGCAGAAGCACCAGGAAACGCCTGGAAACTGGAACACATCCAGACAAAACTGCTTCTGCTAGACCTCAGTGGCGCTTTGTGGCTCACAAAATGGCAGGTGTTCTATAAAGGATATTTTATGTTTGCTGTGGGTTCTTCAGCTGTGGGGTGAGGGTGGGCTCTTCTGGGGGGCCTGTTGTGTTTATGGAGGCTGCTTAGCATGCAACAAATGTGTATTCATGACAACATAAAACTTACCTTTAAATGCAGTGTGAGAGACCAATTGGTGTGTTTCTGTTTTTATTCCTGAAGAGTATTTATATATATTGTCTTTTTTTGAACAATTTGTTGCCATAGTTCATATTTAAAGACTAAACTATGTCTCTTGTGACTCATTATTGGATCTAGGGTATTGTGTCACTCTGTTTGCTGTTTGAAACTCTTCTTCAAACATACCTTCCCCAACTCTTTTATCATCTGCGAGAAATCGGAGCTCAACCGTGAGTATATTTATTACCTTACTGTGTCTTCACAATGCTTCCCTGCAGTGAAACTGGAAACACAGAATGCTCTTTTCCATCACTCACAGCCACACTATATCCTCAAGGAATACCACAATTCTCCCCGAAAAAGTGATAATGGTTAAGTACAACTATATCATGTCCCTAATCACACACACACACACACACACACACACACACACACAAAATGTTCTTTTTTTTTCTTTTATTTATTTATTTTTTATTATTACAATTTATTCACTTTGCATCCCAGCTGTAGCCCCCTCCCTAGTCTCCTCCCAATCCCACCCACTGTCTCTCTTCTACCCCTATGCCCTTTCCCTTAGTCCACTGATAGGGGCAGGACTCCTCTCCTTCTCTCTGACCCTAGCCTATCAGGTCTCATCAGGACTGGCTGTATTGTCTTTCTCTGTGGCCTGGTAAGACTGTACCCTCCTCCCTTAGGGAGATGATCAAAGAGCCAGCCACTGAGTTCATATCAGAGACAGTCCCTGTTCCCCTTACTAGGGAACCAACCCACTTGGACACTAAGCTGCCTTGGGCTACATCTGTGAAGGGGTTCTAGGTTATCTCCATGCATGGTCCTTGGCTGGAGTATCGGTCTTTGCAAAGACCCCCGTGCACAGATTTTTACACAAAACATTCTTAGTAGAGGGCTGGGTATGATAGCTTGGTGGGAAAAGCCCTTATCCTATATGTGTGAGCTTTGGGTTCAGTGACTAGCACTGAAAATAAAATGTACTTAGAATGACTAGCATCCTATTAGAAGTTGTGTTCACTGGGATTGATTTTTGTGTCTGGTTTATGGATCATCAAATCATCTAATTTCAGTTCATAATGAAGACATTTTTTGAAACAAATACAGCCTGGGAAATGTGATAATACCAAATTAAGTCAGTGTGGATTAAGTTTATCAGAGCACATCCTGTGAAATGTGTCAGGTTGAAGTTTGCTGTTTTCACTTAAGGGAAGCAGACCAAATACCTCTCAGCTGTTGTCCTGTGTTTTCTCCTTACAGAAGTTTGGATTTGCTTCACTGACCTCAGTGTGAGTCATAAGTGAATATGTAGATTAGCTCTGACCTCAGTAAGCGGTTTTGTCTCCTTTTAAATGATATTATCTAGATTCGAATTTTCCTTCTGTCCTCTCCAAGCGCGCGCACACACACACACACACACACACACACACACACTACTAAGGAAGGTCTATGTGAACAAAGAACACTAACTCTTTGAGGCTGAAGGACTTAACGACAACCAGGTGTGGTATTTGTCTTATACACACTTAAACCCACAGCACATGCCTACCTGAGTGGATATAAGTATAACCCAGCTGCAAATTCCATTTCTGTTAAGCTGTGCCATCCAGGTAAGGTTATTTACGCTGCAAATTTTTCATGCTTAAATCAAGATAACACAATTTCTTTATCTTAAAATGAAGAGACTTCCCACCTGACAGAATTGTTTGCAGGTTCAGTGACTATAGACAAGATAGAGACATGGAGGGGACAGATATGAATGAATGCCTTATCTCCTTTCTCTGAAGCCTCTTTGGATTTGAGAAAGATGTCAATGTTATTTAAAAACAATACTTCATATTATCTTTTGATAATTCAGATAATTGATACTCTTTTTTCCTGTGGCCTCTTTTGAAAAATATTCTGTTCTTAATTAAGACCATAAAGCAGGAATGCGGCAAAAAATAGTTTATATTGAGCTATTGAGCTTAACCCTTTTTCTCTTAAACGGTTCACTGACCTCTGTTCACTGAAGGTAGAAGTTGGATAGAACTAGGCTCTTCTTTATTGTGTTGAAGGTGTTTGCTTCCTGCTAGAAACTAAAATGCTGGTAGGTTTTTTTTTTTTTTTCTAGTCTACTTATACATTTTAAATCATTACAAGGAACATTTAGATTTGGTGAACTTAAAATTCTTCAACAGGAGAAAGTATAAAAAGCGCAGCATTCAAGGTAGAAATGAATTTTAAAAGACTTTCATAAGTGAAAACTGCTCCTGTTATGGTTGTGTTTATTACTATTTGGTGTACACACATGCACTCACACACACGCACATTCACGCATGACTGGAGAGCAGAGGACAGTCTGCAACAATCATTTCTTTTGTTGCAGTTGGTCCTGGAGACAGGCCTCACTCAGTTGGTCAGTTTTGGCCATGCCTGCCTGCCTCCTTTGTTGATCGTTCTGCACAGAGATTTATTAACTCTAGTCATCTTTGATAGACTGAGTTTCATGTTCTACTGAGCTTTCTCTTGTTCTACAGTTTCAATTTCATTGATTTCTGCTTTGTTATTCCTTCTTTATATTTGCTTTGTGTTTATTTTGCTCGTATTTAAGGTACTTTTCTCCCTTTTTAGTACAAGTGTTAATGTTACAGATTTCTCTTAAAGTAAATTTTATGAATGAAGTTTAATATGTTATCATCTCATTTTCAGTCAACTAAAAATGTTTAATTTCTTTTGTGACTTTCTGTTTGTCCACCAATTATATTAAAAATATGGCACTGTGCTGCATTAGAAGCTTCACCCCCACTGACTAACATGCATGTTGCTGGACGGTACTATACACAAATGTTCAACAGTCTTACCCTGCTATGAAGCCTGAGAGCTACAGCAGCAACCCACCTGCAAGATATCCCCACCGGGGTAGTAGTGGCAGAAATGCTGTGGGAGTAACTAACCCCCTTTTTTAAGTTGGTTTTTCTTAGGGATTGATTACTCCATGAAATGCAACCCATATCTGAAACTCTTAACAAGTCCGAGAAACAGAGACTGGATAGGGAATGCTCCCTAGAGAAAACTTGCTACTAATATTCTAAGTGAACGCAGCGACTAACTGACCCCTGATGGGATATTGGTACCCCGTGACTCAGCGCTGCACACTCCATGGCTCACCAGAGAAGCTTCTTCTCACAGAAGATAGCAGCTAACACAGAGGCCCCCAGCTGAACAGCATGCTGAGTGACAGACGTGGGAGCACTCAGCCCTAATGAGCTGTCTTCATCGAGGCCCTCTGCTGTGAAATATAATTCCACAAGGAGGTACCACGCTGAGCCCAAGCCAAGATGTGCCCCTGAGAAATTACACCAGGCATCAGACCTGGTGTAAAAGGAGTTTACTGGGGGAAGGGAGAGGAGTGAGGAGAAGAGGTAGTCAGACGAGTGGACATGTATACAGGAAGACAGACAGAAGCAGAGCAAGGGGGCAGAGAGAGGGGACCACCAAGGACAGAGAGGGAGGGAGAAAGCTCAGAGCGAGAGAACCGCTGAGTGCCAGGTGCCTCCTTTTATAGGCAGCACACACCTGTGGCACCTGGCAGCTGCTGCTGCAGGTCAAGAGGGAAGCAATTGCTAGGTCCCTGAGGGCAGGCCAGCAGAATCGCCTGTGCACTAACACCCTCCCCTCGAGGTTCAGGGCTGTATGTGAAAATGAGGTGGAAAGATTCAAAGGGCCAAAGGTGGCACATGGCTTCCAAGGAAACAGGACTACAGAGCTAATACACTTATGAACTCACAGACTGTGATAACATGCACAAGAGCAGGGGAAAATGGGCACAAGGTCCTACCCCTAACCAAGAAGCTATATGCAATTATACCTGCCGAGAGAGATGAAATTAGTTTGTTTGTTTTTTCCAATGGAATGAAACTGGGTATATTAATTACACTCCAAGGCAGGCTTCATGCCAGGAGTAGTTGACCAACACAAAACAGACTTGATGGGGTTCTGTTGTTTTGTCCTTTTTGTTGTCGGTTTTGTTTGTTGTTTTTTTTTTTTAAAGACAGCAAAAGAACAGGGAATTAGGTGGATAGGGAGGGGGAAGGATATGATCAAAATATATTGTATAAAAACAATTTATTAATTTTTTTTTAATTTGAGCTAAGTGTGGTGGTACATGCCTTTAAGCCCAGCACCTTGGAGGCAGAGGCAGGCAGATCTCTGTAAGTTCAAGGCCAGTCTGGTCTACATAGTGAGTTCCAGGACAGCCAGGGCCATGTAGAGAGACTTAGTCTCAAATAATAATAATAATAATAATAATAATAATAATAACCCTAAATTTTTCAATGTGATGTTTATTTTCCAAATATTGAAAAGGTTAGAGATTTTCCTATTATTGCCTTCTGTTTTCATTCGGTTGGTGTCAGAGTGCATTTTATATGATTTCAGTGCTTTTAATTTTTTTTTAACATTTTTTGACCCAGATATAATCTGTTAAGACAATTGTTATATATCCACTTGCAATAATTTATGATCTTGGGCCACAGAAACATCCTATGTGCAAAAGTGTGTGATGCATGAGCTGGCAGCACCACTTCTGTCCCCTGGACCCACATAAAAAGCGGGCATTGTAGCCTGCGTCCTCAGTCCCAGCACGCCTCTGGCCACATGCGAGGCACAAACCAAAGACTGTCCGAGAAGCTTGTGGGCCAGCTGCCCAGCCGGAGCACACGGACAGACTGAGAAACAGCCACAAAGCCCCTGCCTCAGACTGAAAGTGGACGGCAGGAACCAGCCCCAAAAAGTTGTTCATGACCACCACACACACACACACACACACACACACACACACACACACACACGCCACAGCCGCATGCAAAAATGATTTCTGTTCCATGAATATTTGTCAGAATTATGTAAATGTCGGTAAGTCAACCATGTTGATGAGCCTTCCATCTACTTTTATTCAACTCTTTGCCAATTTTCTTTTGCTCTTAGTTATTGAGCAATATTAGTCTCTAGCTAAAATTGTGGAAGTCTTCTTCCATCCATGTTGTATGTAATTTGAATCTCTGTTTTAAGGAGATTCAAATGGAACTAGTTGTTTTCCTTTATTCTTGACTATAAATCTATTATACCGGATTGTAATACAGCTATGACAGCTTTCTCTTGATTACAAATTGCATGGTGTTTTCTGTTTCTAATTATTATTATTAATTATCAATGTTTTTAAGTTTCAAGTAGGTTTCTTGTCAAAGTATAAGTTGAGTCTTCTTACACAGTAATCTGTCTTCAAACTGGTATGCTTATACCATTTATTATTTAACATAATTAACATTATTTGATTGAAATCCATCTTGCACTGTCAAAGCAGATGCTGAGCCTGATGGCCAACTGATGGGCAGAGTGAATGGAATTCTATGTAAGAAGTGAGAAATAGTAAGAGCTGGAGGGGACGGGAACTCCACAAGGAGAGCAACAGAACAAGATAATTTAAACACAGGGAACTTCCCAGAGACTCATACTCCAACCAAGGACTATTCGTGGAGATGACCTGGAACCCCTGCACAGGTGTAGCCCATGGCAGTTCAGTGTCCAAGTGGGTTACCTAGTAATGGGAAGAGGGACTGCCTCTGACATAATCTGATTGGCCTGCTCGTTGATCACTTCCCCCTGAGGGGGGAGCAGCCTTACCAGGCCACAGTAGAGGACAATGCAGCCACTTTTGATGAGAACTGATAGACTAAGATCAGAAAGGAGAGGAGAACCTCCCCTATCAGTGGACTTGGGGAGGGGCATGCATGCAGAAAGGGGAGGGAGGGTGGGATCGGGTGGGGAGGAGGGAGGGGCTTATGGGGGGGATACAAAATGAATAAAGTGTAATTAATAAAAAAATTTAAAAAAAAAAGAAATCCATCTTGCCAGAATTTTGTTTCTGTGTTCTTTCATTTCACTATTTCACTTACTGAGCTACTGTTTAAAAACTGAGCACTTTTCATTACAGTTTATATGCACCATTCATTGTGCTCTTGATTAAATGATCTTTGATAGGTGCCTCCTTTTTCATATCATTCATCAAGTGACTATATTCCACTTTTAAGCAAATTCCAAACTTGGTGTCTGAATATTTCAGGAAGGATCATTTTATTTTTTTTTATATTTCTTTATTTTTAAATAATTTTATACATTCACTTGTATCCCGGCTGTAACCCTCTCCCTCTTTCCCTCCCAATCCTCCCTTCCCTCCCTCATCTCCTCATTGCCCTTTTCCATGTCCACTGAGAGGGGGTGTCCTCCTCTCCTTCCATCTGGTCCTAGCTTATCAGGTATCTTCAGGATGGTTGCAATGTCCTTATCTGTGGCCTAGCAAGGCTGCTCCTCCCTCAGGGGGGAGGGGAAGCTCATGAGTTCATGTCAGAAACAATTCCTGTCCCCCTTACTAGGGAACCCACTTGGATACTGAGCTACCATGGGCTGTCTGAGCAGGGGTTGTAGGTTATATCTATGCGTGCTCCTTGGTTGGATAAACAGTCTTATAGAAAGGAAGGATCATTTTAATCTGTGTTTTCTGTGGTTGCTATCAAGTCTCTTTATATTTAAGTAACTTGATTGCAATTTATCTAGACTTATATATATATATTTTTAGTTTCTTCTGTTGGAGTCTGCTGATCATCTTATGACTTCATCTGTTGTCACACTGGAGTCTTTTTTTTCTTTAGCTACCATTCTCCAGATATGTTTTGTGTACCACACTTACTCTCCTCTTCTTCTGGGTTACAATGACACCATGTCAGTGTTTTCAATCTTGCCCACTAGATACTTGAAGATCTATATGTGCTTTTTGTTTATGAATCTTTTTAAATTTTCGTTATTTGGTTTTCTAATGATCTTATCTGTGATTTGGATTCAACACTTTTCTAGATCTTATTTTTATTGAAACATGCTCAAATTCATTGACACTTTCCTTGATCATTTTAATCTGCTAACAGACCTACTCAGTAACTTGGAGTTTTTATCATTATGTTTTATCTTTTTGCAAATAACTATTATACTATTTCATTCTAAAACTTTCATTTAGTCATTCTTCATATAAAACTCATGGAACTATATACTTGCAAGGGTAGATTTTGCTATGCTAAATCATCCCCCAGTAAACTTTATCTTTTTAAAGTCATTGCTGTGCTTTCTCTGTGGGAGGAGGCACTGAGAACTTGAGTAAAATGAAAATGATTGAATGTAATAATTTAGATATATTTGTCAGTATTAAAATATTTATTGCTGCTAGGTATGGTGGTGCATGCTTTTAATCTCAGCACTCAGGGAGGAAGAGACAGGAGGATTACTGTGAGTTTGAGGCCAGCCTAGTCTAGAAAGCAAGTCCTGGACAGCCAAGGCTACACAGAAAAACCTCATCTCAAAAAAAAAATTGCTAAAAATTTTCTCCTGTTTGATGTAAAACAAATTGAAAGGCTTAATTTGTGAATACCACTGACCAACACTTGGACACATTAGAATATAGAATAATTCAACAATGAATTTGACTGTGACCTTTCAGGGACAGTAGAGTGATTTTTAGATGTTCATAAACAATAGAGAAATGTGAGAGGGTCATTTATTTCTTAGGACATTAAAGCCAAAGGACTCATTTCCTCATTCTGGGAGGAAACTGTTACTGTAAAATAGATGACTTATGAATGTGGGATCTCATACAACCTTGTCACTAAATGAAGGGCTTGAAATAAGAATCCTAAGGTCTCTTGTTGCTTTAAACCATTTGTCTTCCTGATTTCCGAATTGTTGTTTTACTTTGTTTTATCCACCCTAAGTAGCAGTTTGACTGAGAAGTACGGGTAAACTTATTGAACTAAAAAGTATAAAAGCACTGAATGTTCTTTAAATATTTAGAATAAAATCCAAATTGTCATGGCTTGCCTAAAATTAAGACTATTTGAATACAGCTCTTGATCATCCTCTGAAAAAGATACAGTGTAAGATGGCTTATAAATATGAACTCCATCATACATAACTCTTCCTCTTAATAGTTTTGAAACATTAAATTGAGGTCCCACCTTGTTGCCTTTGACTTTTTACAGCTTTTAGGAAATGAGGAGTTTCAGAAGATTTACAATAATGACAAAATTGGTTGGATTTTTCTTATACTGCCTATATGGAAACGATCTAATAATAAAATTAATTCTTATTTCCCTTGTCTACAGACTTCGTATATCATTTAAATGGATGGTTCGAGCTTTTTCTGGATACTTAGCTACAGATCAACTCTTGCTTTTGTGGGATAGGATCCTAGGATACAACTCTCTGGAAATCCTTGCTGGTAAGAGGAAGTGCGTGTTTGCGAAGTCCCTGCTGCTTCCGTGTGGAGCCCCTTTCCCGGCAGACACTCGCTGATTGTCACTGGGAGAGAAGGGCTGCAGTCACCGCTTCTAATGTTTGAGCATCTATAGATTGAGCAGGCCTGGAAGCAGGCCTGCAGTTCTGTACTTCTGATGCATCCACCCAGCTGCTCTGCACCAACCTGAGGTCTGTGCAGCAGAGAGATTTGACCTCCGCTCTAGGTCATAACATTCTGCCCTGTGCCCTTCTCAGAGACTGAGCCCCTTGCATCTGTCAGAGCTTAGCTCTTCTGGTCTGCAGTTTATCCTGGGTTCCAATTTTTGCTAATGGTCTTTGGCTTCTACCCTGGTGCTGAAATTTTTTCTTTTAGTTATTTTCTCATAAAACAAACCAACCAACCAGTTTTTTCTTTGCAAGGAAGCCACAGATTCAGCTATTGTCAGTGGTTAGGTAGTCTATACAGCAGATGCATGTGAAGGCACCACTTCAGCACAGCAGGTGCATGTTGGTTATGTGTTCTGCGCCTTTAGTGCACAGGGGCCTCCATTTCTTCATCACTAGGGTTATTAGAAAACTCCAGTGACTGTTAGGATATTTCTGAAGCAATAGATGGAATACTGAAATGGAATACAGAAAAGCTGGCAATGTTGTTTGTTTCCTTCCTTTACGGTTAAAATCATCTCCCTGGGAAATTGTGGAAATAAGGCTTAGTCAGAAAAATAATGTGCCAAGAGTACTCTCTCGGTACCATATTAACATTTTCTTGAATGCCAGAGGCCCATAGTGTTTGGGTGACATTTGGAAAGGTGAAATTAGAATAACTATAAAGTACCATGAAGATAAATGTCGCCCGAGGTGCAGTCAGACTGTCACTGACTGATGTTATAACATCTCCCAGCATCCTTCTCTTTTTTCTTAAAGCTCATACAAACTTGTCAGGGAAGAACAGCTGGCCCACATTATCTTAGCTAAAGGACAGTGACCTATCATCTAGGAATGGAAGGAATGCCGGAGAACATTGGCTATAGCTTCTTGAACATTTCTGACAAACTGCCCTTATCCTCTGCTCTAATACTTAAGTGCTGGGTAATCCTGCTCTTCTCAAAGGGCGCATTTCTTTATGGCTAATATGACTTATTAACATATGCGCCTTTTAGGCCTCAAAGTGAAGGTGCCTACTGCCAAGTCTGGCAGCCGGAGTCAAATCCGCAGGAGCCACATGGTGGAAGGAGAGAACGACAGTTGTGTTCTGACTTCCAAACACATACCATGGCTTTCATATATGCACCATGGCACTGAGACCCACACGCATAGATATGTGCACACACATAAAATAATAACATAGGTCTTAAAATCAAAAGCATCCCTTCTTTTTAAAGATTTAGTGTGTATGTGTGTGTGTGTTTGACATGTTTATGTAGTACCCACAGACATCAGAAGAGAACATCAGATATCATGGCGCTAGAGGGGCAGTCAATTGTGAGACCCCTGCCTGGGTGCTCGGAACTGATCTCAGTCAGAAGGAAAAGCAGCCAGTGCTCATAACCTTGAGCCATCTCTGCAGCTCCAAATATGCTCCTTTTAAACCAAGATTGTTTTCATGGTTTTTTTTTTTCCTGTATTCATTACCCCATCTTTTCATAGAGTCTTATATATTTCAGACTAAGCAGTCTAGTTTTCTGCTTCCATTTCCCAAATGCCTGGATTTTAGATTTCACCAAGTTACTCTACTTTGGGTGTACCAGAAACTTTGAAGAACATACTCCACAGCACTTGGTATCACTTCAGAGAAAATAGTGAGTAAATGTTAAAAGAGGAAGTTCACTATGAGAAAGTACTTTCAGAGAGGAATTAGGTAGAGTGAGCTCTTTGTCTCCTGAAGAGTGAGAAAGTTTTAATGTGAAAGAAGCTTTGATTTAGAAAACTTTCAAGGACTCTTCAGATTTAAATCATCTGATTTTGTGTCGCATCACTCCTTAAGCTAAAGGGAAAGAGAAAGAAAACTATGCAGAATATTGGATTTGCCGTGCACCAGGGACTCTGTTAGATCAGTGTATTAACTGAAACAGACTGGCAGAGAAACAGAAACTGATTCATACTTACTACACTTACTGCCCTGAATGCTTGCAAAATTCAACAAGGAAGAATTCTAGAACATCTACACATGAAACTGGGGTGTTGGGAGTCCCAACCTTGGAATTCAGGTAAAAGTCCATAATAATAGATGTAGAAATACACAGGTTTCCATTGATTGTGTCACCAGTTTTGAAATAGGTGCTTAATGCCACCTTCTTTATATCAAGTATGCTATTATAGTCTTTATAAAGCTTTCATAATTACATCTGTCCTTAATTATGATTTACAGACCACTAAAGCAGAGCTTAAAACAGAGGTGTCTTAATGTCATAAAAGGGTTTATTAAGATTAAAGTAATGAGAATAGTTGTTTAAAAAAAACAAAGTAAACACTATAATTTCCACAATTCATATGAAGCGTGATTTCAGTTAAGAATATCCCAAAGTATAGGTCCTCAGTGTGGAAGCAGGCCTGTTCTCTGTAGAAGGCTGGACAGACCCAACATGAAGCAAACGGAAAGGCACTCCTGTGATGTGACACCGAGATAAATAAAGGCTATGAGCGCACATTTGAATGCTGAGTTCAATCAGTGGGCTTATCTACCTTTGGACAGACAGCTGATCACCATCCGAGACTCGTTCCTGCCCCGGCAGAATATTTGGATGTCCTGTCAAGCTTTCAGCCAGCTGCTCAGCCCTATACGGGAATGAAAGTGGGAAACATATTTCTGAGCTTCTAAAATGTTTTCACTATCCAAAATATGATTTCAGATAATAGAAGCGGTAAACATTGCTGACCTACTGAAATGGTTTAATACTCTTGTAAACATATGCTCCATAGCCCTAAAATCCTTTTTAACTCTTTTCAGTTAAAGAGAAAAATCCTTTGATCCAGATCTCTTGTATGCCTTATTTCATGGTGAAAAATTCAAGTTGACTTAATTTTACTTTGTATTATTATTATTCCCTGATTCTCTCCGGGATTGTCCTAGCTAATTACAATACTCTTGCCACGGCTTCCCAAAATCTCTCACCCCCAAGCAAAATGCCTGTGCTCTCCCCAGCTCCTGGTTGCACTGCTCCCTACCTGGGTGATCTAGAGGCCTGGAAAGCAAGAGCCTGATGTCCCCTCTGCCAGCACAGCCTTCCACCTGTGAGGGCCCAGGACTACCACAGCCCTACTGGGCAGGCAACATCTGGAAAGGCCTCTGAGGTACAGCAAGGCTGCCCCTCCCTAGAAGAGCACACAGTCTCTGGTGTCAGCGCTGAGTCCCTACTCCTTGCCTTTGGACTCAATAGGGAAATCCTTCAAGGGTCACATGAACAGGCTTTAGAACCAGGCTTAAGTATCAGCTCTACTGTTTCTACCCGGGTGACCACAAATATGTCAGCCAGCTCACTGTGCTGTTTCTACACTAGCAAAATGGACTTGCTCATAGTGTGGGGTGAAAATTAACTACCATGGTTATTCTCATAGTAAATATATCGTTTAAAACACCTTGTGTTAGCTGGGCAGGACATCTCGGAACCAGTGTTCCGACGCCTTTCTAATGCTTGTCAGTATCACTAATCCCCCAACTTTCCATGCTTTGAAGTGTGAGGAATTCACTACCACTTCTGGCTGTGAGGGAGAAGATGAAGGAGTCCTCTCTGTGTAATCCCCTCTCCTCAGGGTCACCTCTCTAGTGCGTGGCTCCTGTGCTCCTCATAATGCGTCACTCCCGTGGAGTTCTGTGGCCGCTTCTATATTGATAAATGGTGTACGCTTGCCTGGCCCTTCTTCTGTGTGTGACAGAAGCAAACAGTCGTGGTTTTTTCTGTTTAATATCACAATGTTTTCAAAGTTTCAACTTACTTTTCTTATACCTAACATTGTAAATATCAAGATTAGCTCTACAACAGCCTTCTGCATAGAACTACCCATTTGTGACACTAAGAAAGCCAATAAAGAGGACATAAAGATGTAAATATAGCACAATCTTATAAAATCCATTTTTAAAGGATTTATACCCATATTTATATCAGGACACCTCCCTCAAGCACATTAAGATGAGTTTTTAGAATTTAACTTCACATAACGTCCCAAGGGCTTTTCAGTGTTGTGTATAGAAGTATCTGTGGGCTCTTAGAGCCCCGTGCATTTCAACAGTTAGGGTACACTTCCTGTTGCTCCTTATGCCCTTGTGTTAGTTGTAGGTGTGACGGAAATCACTTCTGCATGACTTTTTAAGACCGCTGGGTTTTCCTCTCCCCAAACTGTGGGGCTCACTCGGTGGAAGGGCCAGGCATCACTCTCCAGAATAGATGTCCCACTCATGGCTCCCTGAGGCAGAGGCAGGGGGACAGCTGCGCCGTCTCTGTCCTTGTGCAGCTCCTGGCGGCTGTGGGCGGAGCGCGAGTGTCCGGGCTCTTGAGGAGGCCAGCAGTTGAATAGTGTGCATTCTTTTCCAGTGCTGGCAGCCGCCGTGTTTGCTTTCCGAGCAGTGAACCTGATGGAGGTGACATCACTGGCTGCAGCTGAAGTAAGGATAAGTTTCACTCCGACGGGATGGAAATAGTTCCTGAGAGGCCGCCAGGCCGACCGTTTAGTGTCTGGTGCATAGGACACGCACTACTTGTAGCTGAATTTTTTTAACTCGGGTAAAACCTATAAATTCTGAGTTAACTATTATTAAGTACTCAGATTTCCCTAATCGCTTGAAAACAACCTTCTTACAAGGGTCATAAACAAGATTATTACAGGAAACCATTATAACCATTATGGGAAACCAGATACCTAGTGCTCTCAGTGGAAACCATGGCGGGTTACGGTACACTTTCTTATTGTTGCTTCTGTCCATGTGTTACCAACAGGAAAACTGTCCAAAGAGTTAAATAGGATGTGTCTGAAGGAAGTACTAATGACACAGGCTTTGGAATGTTTTTGGTGAATTATAATGATTTAAAGCTGATTCCTTCCTTCCTTCCTTCCTTCCTTCCTTCCTTCCTTCCTTCCTTCCTTTCTTCCTTCCTTCCTTCCTTCCTTCATTTCTTCCTTCCTCCCTTCCTTCTTTTTTTCCTTTCTTCCCTTCTTAATGTCATCTCAGCTTCTTTCTGTCTATCTCAAAATCCAGTTGTGGTCCTAAGATTCTTGCTGGTACTCCATCATTTTTTGTCTGTTTGTATCCTTTTGTTTTTCCCTTGGCAATTACTTACATATAAGAATATAGAGAAATTCAGCCTCCCCCATTACCCTCTCTCATCACTCTCTTTCTTGACAAAATCTTTTTTCCCACTAATCAGTACCCATGCTTCTTACCCCACCTGCCACCCAGTGATTCCTGGGGTTTAACCAGGGTTGCTTTCTGGAGCCTAGGTGAAGTGGGGGCCACTTTCCAGCAGCTACCCCACTGAAGAAAATGACCCTCTTCCTCCGTCAGCCACTGACAACCATGGACTCCTCAGGGAGAGTGAGGGCTTAAGCTCTTCCCCAACCAGGGTGGAATTTTGACAGACTTAAACTTTTGTAGGGCTCGTGAAGATAAGCCCAGCTGCGTGAGTTCCTGAGTGCAATGACCATGTCTCATCTAGAAGACACAGGTTCACTGCCCCTGCCCTATCCTCCACCCTTACAGTCTTTCTGCTCCTCTTCCACCGTGTTCCTGAGCTTTAGTAGAGGGCTGATCCCTTGACAGTCACACATTCTCAGCCACATGACCAGTTAGGAGCCTCTGTTTTAATTGCCACCCAGTGCAAAAAGAAGCTTCTTCAATAGGAGACTCGGGCTAGCACCCATCTAGGGACAGGAGCCCATGAGAGGGACTGTTTGCAGTTACCTGCTGTTGGGGGTTACTCTTCTCAGTGGTGTAACCACTGATGAACTTTAAAGCTGATCCTTTTGATAATAGAGTTTTTACCTGAGATACGGCGCAGTTAAGTAGTGCCCACAGTAGCCCTGTATTTGTTGTCTCTCAGAGAGATCTAAGTTTTTAAGTAGCCGCCTCCATGTTGTGTTGAAAGGGAAGAGGATGTTTATGTGTCTTGCAACTGAGTAAATGGTCACTCCACCTCAACAAGATTCCCTGCCGTCCTTTACACTCTCTAGAGGAGCGGGTCGAGTGTTCAGAATGGAGGTTTATTTATAGAAGGGAGCTGAAATGTTAGGCCTCCTGTAAACCCTGCTGCCTGTGTATGTGAACAAGGTGCAAGGTTGAGGTCGGTGATGTTCTGATGTGCATTTTAGATTTTGCACATGTTCAGGGACTCCGAGGAGGAAGGGGTAGCACTGTGAGGGACTGAAGCCAGCTGAAGAACTTAGCGGGAATGGCTGCCAAGGTCACCCCGAGCAGGTGTTTCTGTTGTGTTTGATTTGACAGACCTTGGTGTTAATAATTCCTTTTTTGGTTCTTTGTTCCAGGCAGTTCTGGCTGACCTTTCTACTTTAAAAGTTATGCCTCTTCTTCAAATTTTTCTGTTTGCTACTGTCACCTGATCTTCGAGGTCGCTGGCAACATATCTAGTTTTTCATTAGAAACTAATCATGAACTATGCAAACTCTGCATACAACCAAAATTAAACTTTGCATAAAAGCCAATAAAGATCATGTACCCTCCTCAGTTAAAGATAAGAAGTTTTTCACTTTTGAAACAATAACCAAATACTGCGCTTGCATGCTGATGACTGTCAAGAGAGAAGCAATAGACATCACTTCTGCTGAACTGAGCATCCTACATGCACAGATTCCTAACTTGTACCAGGCATGTACCATATATGCAATAAGAACTAAAGCCACTGTAATAAACTTCAAGAGGTAACATAGCTTCTTGTCAGTTTGTACACTTCTCCCTAGGTGATGGTTGGTTTTATACATTGTTTCCTGCTTACACCAATGGGGGGATGGGCATGAAGAAGCTTGAAAATAATAATGCATTTGAGTGGAATTCAAAATGATATTTTGATCAACTTTTAATTTATGATGGACTTTCAGATCCCTCCCATTTTATTTCTCCACTAAACATCTCTATTGGAAAAAGGTATAGAGATCATCCAATAATTTGTTTTGGTTTTGTTTTTTGAGGCAGTCTTATATAGCCCAGGCTCTCCCCAAACTCAGTGTGTAGCAGAGCATAACTGAATTCCAGATTCTCTTGCCTCCGTCTGCCACGTGCTGGGATTACAGGTGTCTTTCAGCGCACCTGCCTCCATCTGCTGATGTCTTCCTCGTGACTCTGGAAGTCAGAAACGTGTAGAGCGATCCCTTTGCACTCCCCAACCTGACGTCTTTCACACAGAAGCCTTGACAGTGCTGACACTTGCTGCCAGATTCTGTTTCCTTGGAAGTGCACAAGGAGGAGGAGTCAAAACCAAATCCGCTCTGCTGAAGCCCGGGCTTCCAGATTGACTTTTAGAGCACAACAGTGCAGATACACAAGTAGTCAATCTAGAACGGAAGGTTTATTCAAGGCACTGGGTCTTATTTTCCTGTGTATATGAGCAAAGGGTTCTGTTTTGTTTTATATTTCTTTAACAATGTCATTTCAGTATATGGAGTAATAGAATGTGAAGAAAAAACAGGTCTTCTGATTTTAGAAGAAAATTTAAGATGCTGCTTACGCTAATAAAACTCAAATAAATCAATAGATTGATACTTCTCTCATCTGAACTTTTATTAATTTTCATCCAAATGTATCTTATAAATCTGTTATTTTCACATCATATATTAGGAAAACTATGAAATTCTACATAGTACTTCAAATGTGGTGAAATTAGGTATGAATAGTTTACTGAACGTCTAAATTCTCTTATTCATCAGGAAGTTGCTGAAGACTGAACAAGTTCTTCTGTGATTGATTCTCAACAAACTTTAATAATCTTCCTGTCTTGGTGACGTCATACGCCATGTTGTCGTGCGTGTCCAGGCACACCTCCAAGGAGGGGGCGAGCATGACTCCAGGGCTGGGGTCCTCTCCCTTTGCCACAGTGGTAACCGTAGTAGGAAGCCGTTGTGTTGGAGATGATTAGTAGCAGATGTACAGAGATAAGCCCCTCTTTAAACTTTTTATAGCAAAGTATAGATTTACTAGTTGTGGTTGTCTGACACTCTAGACTGGAGAAGTCCTCTCTTATCTGCGTGTTCCTAAGTAAGTAGATCTCGGTTATTGGCAAGTGAGGGGGATGCAGACAGATGGTAACGCATTATTGTTTCTGCTGTTTACCTTGCAAGATTGTAGAGGACCACATGATAAAATATATGTGAAAGTGATTTTTAAACAGTAAGCCACCAGTCAAATATGGTAGTATTAATTTTTATGTTACAATTTAAGGTCAACAGCTAGAAGGTAGCTAGAAGAATGGCCAGCTCCATTAACATGTGTTGTGTTTCTTGAAAGCTTGAGAATATGTCGACTGAGAAATAAATCATTACCTGATAGGTGCTTTCTTTCAGTGCAGTTTACTTTAGCCAGTAGCTTTGAATTTCAGTCCCAGACCCAACCTGGTAGGCAGCTTCACACTTTGCCACTACACAAACCCCTGCTGTGCTGCTCTTAGCTGCTGGCTAAGCACTACAGAGAGAGCCATCGGGCAGCCCTGCCCATTCCGTCCCTAACTGCTTCTTCACCCTGCCCCACTTGGCTTCCTTCACTGGCATTCTCCTGTGCCATCTTTGATCAGCCATTGACACCCCCTTCCTTCTGCTCTGCCTGTGACCACGTGAGTCTGGTAAATGAGTGGGGAGGTGCTAGCGGCCATGAGCACAGAGTAAAGCAGCCACAAAGGCGTGTGTGTTTGTGTGTGTAATGAACGCTGTCCATTAGCGCGCACCATGACTTTGTGTATGGAACAGTCTGTCTGACCATCTTTGCATCAGGACGTTTTGCTACTGCAGTTTCCTGGCTAACTAAAATGTCCAGTTTGACTTAACAATCCAGTGCTTCTTGCTCAGCCCAGACCCTCCCCTCCCATTCCACGGGGAGAAGAGAGACAAATAAGCTTGCACATTCTCCACCATCTCATCCAAACCTCACCTTGATCCCCATACTTAATTTCTTCCTTCTTGTCTCAAGAAGTCTCTAATCTATTTCTATAGTTCTCGAAATGCTGGGCACTTTGAGTTATTTCTGTGCTTACAAAGTTTGACTCCTTGTTGCTTAAAGGATGAAGTCCCTGCTCATTAGCAAAGCGGGGCTAATTCCTCGTAGCCTGGCCTTTCCATTTCCTTGTCCCATGGTGATCCATCCCCAGGCCCCTCTTCTCAGCAAATGTAATGATATTCAGCCAGTTCTGGATGTTTGTTTTATCTTTGTGATATCTTTTATCTATATATTCAAGGTCAATATACCCACTCAAAAAAGGCTGTTCTATTACCAAGATATGCTGGATCCTGTACATTAAAATTATTTCTGTGTCTCTGTTCATCCATTAATATGCTACTTGTAATAGTGGATATTCTTAAAGTAACTGTCATTGACTTCCTAGCTGTCCAGTCACAAGAAGAGATTGTCTGCATGTGCTTGTATTTCCTGAGTTATTCCAAAATGTGGGGGATAGATTTTCTTAAACACAAATATCTAGTCTCACTTCTTCTGCAAAGGCCCTGAGCTCTACTGCAGCTTTCCTCTTCCCTGTGTGCTTCAGGTGACACTGACTCCTAACCCCCAAGCTCTCTGGGTTGGCCAAGCAGTTCCATGTGCCATCCCACTGGCCACGGAATGGCTTTGGTCTGTGACCAGTGAAAGTCGATGACACTTGGTTAGAAGACTCTGGTTTAACCTTTCAGGGAAACTAAATATGAGAAAGATTATGATCCAGACCCTGTGTCCTATGAATGGAGAGACAGAAAAGATCCCCAGGACACACCCCAATAGGCTTCCACTGGACTCTTTTGCACATAAGCCAAAGGATTTTTTTTTTCGAACAGAAAGGATTCTAACTTCTGTGGTTATTTTCTTTGAGGTTTGAGATTCATAAGGTGTAGAAGCTCAGTCCACACACTCTTCAAACCAGTATAGGACGTCCAAACTCCCTTCAGTCAAGGCAAAACTGTGGCCTTACTAGGATAAAGCCTACGTGCCATTCCTACCTGATACACTTAACAAGGGTCTTTGACCTTTGGCTCTTTGTCATATAAGGCCCTCACTTAGAACGCTTTCTCTTCTCTCTTCACCCAACTATAACTTGTACCTCTGAACCTAACTCAGGTGATGTATCATCACGAACACTGCGCCTCATACCCAGTCAGCCCAAGTCATGCCACGTCCTAGCTTGTCTGTCTTTTCTGCTATATGGTAACTACTTGAGGGCAGACATGGTCTCATTTTAGCTTTACATCTCTAGAGCTGAGCATAGTCCTTCCTTGTTATAGGCTTCCTAAATGTTCATGAGTGAATGAGAGGCGATCTGGCTCAGGACTCATTTTACTCATGGCAGTGAACATTGTTCAGAGTGACAGGCTGTAAATCCTCATGTAGCCATTTTACCTTTAGTTTTCTAAAGAGGAAGTTTCAACAGGAATAATATATTTACAGGAGAAAAATTAATGCTTCAATTTTTCATTTAAGTGAATATGTATGCAGTCCATTTAAGGGAACAGTTCTGTACAAGTGTATGTACCTATGTCACCATTTTGACAGTTGTGGTAGAATGTTCCCATGACTCAAGACAGTTCCCTTTGTGCCCTTCCTTTCAGTCCCTTGCACACTCATTCCAGAAAGTTACAGAGCTGTGGCTAGCCCTAAAGATTATGCTTTCTTCTCTAGAGGTCCCACACCTATGTTCCTTTGTGTCTGGCTTGCTCTACTTGGCATAATGTGCTAAGATTCATGTTGTGGGACTGACCATTCAGTGTCAGTTATGGCTGAATATACATCATCCTGTAGTCATGCGTCTCCCTTTCCCTGAGGCAAATGCCTAGCAGTATAACTTACAGGCCACATACGAGCACTTGCTCACCTTTCGAAGAATTCCCCAGGTTCTTCTGTGCAGTAATTCCACCATTTGTATTTCCACCAACACACGAGTTGCAGTGGCTCCAAGTCTTGGGTATCATTGTGTTAGTTAAACTAGTAGGTAGCCGTGTCTTTCCTGTTACTCCCTCATAGGTAACAGCAGCATCTTATTATTATGCTTGCTTGCCATTTGCACATAACATAACACTTTAGGATCAAATCTTTTGTTCATTTAAAACCAGTTACCTTCATATTACATTGTAAGACTTCTCTGTTGTGAATGTAGCTTAGAAATCCAATTCCGTGGGCTAGCCCTTATTTTAAAAAAACAAAAAACAAAAACAAACGAACAAAAAAACTATTTCTTTATTCTTTTACATTTTTATTTAAAAATTTTCCCTCACTCATATTTACATATAAATGATTATTTCCCCATACAGAGCACTAATTATCTTTTCAAGAGTAAAAGCTTTCATTTTGTTGATATCAAATTTAGCTGTGTTTTTTTCTTTTTCAGAGTTGTGTGCGTGTGTACTATCTATAAAATCTTTGTGTAACTCAAAGTTGCATATACTTTCTCCATGTTTTCTTCTATAAACTTTATAAATTTCTCTCATTCATTCATGAATTTTTAAAGTTCCTTAGTGTATGTGGCAAGTTAAGGGCTGAGGTTCATATTTTAACCCTTGAAACCTACCATTTGCTAAGCCAACCACCCTTGCCCTTCCACCTCAGTACTTCTGTAAACTCAGGAGGCCCTAGCTGGTGTCTGGACTTGATTTTACTTCCTGTGGATTTGTGTCCGTGCTTACTGTAACGGCATAGCATCTTAATATTTGTGGATTTATAACAAGTCTTGGGATTGACAGTATAACCACTGCTTATGTCAAAACTATTTAAGCAATTATTAATTTTCTAAATAAGTTCTAGAATCAGCATTTCAGTTTTCCAAAAAAGAGTTTGTTAGGGTTATTTTTTAAGTACCATTAACTCTCTAAATAGGTTTGGAAACAATTGATATCATGAGTTGTTCAGTCCATGATCATAGTATATCTTTTCATTTATTTAGGTCTTTTACATTTTCTCTTAGTAATATATTGTTGTTTTAAGTGAGCAGTTCTTGCACATATTTTGTTTAAAATATCCCTATTTATTTCACATTTATTTTACTGTAAATTAATGTTTAACTTTCAATTTTCAGTCATTTGTTGTTAATATATAGAAATACAACTGATTATTTTATATTGGCCCTTTATCCTAAGACCTTGAAAAACTCAATACTTCTGTTATTTTTTGTAGCTTTCCTAGGATTTCCTACATGTATAGTATATTAACTGCAAATAAAGATAACATTTCTTCTTTCAAATCTTTGTGCCTTTGGTTTCCTTTTTTCTCTGTAGTAAATTAAACCTGTAGTAAATTAAAGAGAGACTTCTTCCTGAAGAATTCAAACAATCTCTCTCCATGCCATGAGCAAAAAGAAAAAATGAACAGGGGAAAGCCAAAAGTGGGAGGAGAAAACAAAATTCACTGACTGAGGAGAAATAGCCAAGCACCCAAGCAGGACAGTGCTAGAGCAGAGGCACCGTAGCTCTTGCTATTTCAGGAAGTAGCCAACCATAATTAGACCACAGCAGGCTTCTTCCTTTCTAAAGGAATAAATCATGAAGTTCCCTTGGATACGAAAGCATAAATTATTTCTAATATGCAAACTGTCTTGAACACATAGTCCACAAATCTTGCCACCAAAGGCTTGGATGATGGACTGACACAGGGGAAGAGAAAGGGAAGGAGTGAAGAAAGGAAAGAGGAGACAGATGAAAAAGAAACATTACTTTGTGTGCTGAAGGGCTTCTTCCTCTAGAAGAGAAGTGAATGAGTATTTTACATGTGAAAGATTAATGGAAAGAACTAAGTTTATATGTAAAGGATGCTTTGTGTGACTACAGCCAACAAGACTTCATACTAAGAATATTCCCCCAAATCTGTCAGGTCTGAATGATGCAAGCTTCATTCAGTACAGAAACACAGGAGGGCACTCTATGGGAGATGGGAGCTCAGCTCTCCTGAAGAATAAGCCAACACAGAATTGGCCCTAAAGCAAGTCAGTAGACTCAGCTAGGAAAAAAGCCATCAACATCTCTTCTGACATTCCAGATTCTTCTTACCAATGTGTACACTGATCATAGTGGAAGTTTTGGTTTTTTTGTAAACTCAGTTATGTTATGTAAATAAGTTTTTATTTTACTCCCAAGTGTGGGATGTTAGTTGGGCTATAGTTTGTCCACAGCTGTTAATTTTCTCATGCGGGGCGTGGCTTTTGCCAGCTGGTAACTGCCTGCCACATGCATCAAGGAGAGGGTTGTGGTCTAGGACTCTGCAGTTGAGAGCCCAGAAAGAGAAGTGTGGTTTAACATGCGATGTTGGCATGTGCCGTGTAGCAGTTTGGAAGGGCCAGAGAAATGGACAGTGTGGCGGCTTGGAGCAGACAGACCCAAGAAACGATTTGGGGAACAGTGACTTGGAGAATACTGCTGGCTGCGTTTTCTGTTGATGGAGATTGCTATATCCCCCAAAGACCCTAAACAGCCAGGAAAAGTAAGAAGGTCTGTGCCCCTCTCCACACTAACCCTCTCCCTCCTACTTAGAGTTGGGTGGTCGGTGGAAGGGAGGGAGAGGTCTAAACACCCCAAATAAAGTAACTCGTAAGGAGAGAAACCTAAGTAAGGATCCAAAAGGTCCTTTACTGTACAGCTGAGAGCTTCCCTCATGCAAGGAAAAACTACCCAAGGTCAGAAAAGAACTACTCAGAAGGATTAGTGGAAACAAGCCTTCAAGCTCACATGGGGCCCAGAATAGCACCTGCCTTCACCAGGCAGAATGGAGCCTCCTAATACTTGGAACATTAGCTAGTGCGCTCAGAAGGGGTTTGCCCCATTAGTGGAGAACATTAATCCTAGACTAAATGCTGCTCTGATCACTTCCTGCAAACATTTAAAAGACTCGAGAGGATTAAATGATTCCTAGGTAACTTATCCTAGAACAAAAGTCAAGATTATGTATAAGAATACAAATGTACCCAGCTCCCAATAAGGTAAAATTCACAACCCTGGGCACTTCATTTAAAACATTGCCAGACATTAAAAGTAGGAACATTTGACTCAAAAGAACAAAATAAAGAAATAAATAAGTTTGGCACTAGTGACAGAGTGGGGGAAAAATGCTTATAAATGTTTACTGCTTGTGCAAAAAGGTAGAGAAGAAACTGGCTGCAGTAAGTAGAGTTTTGGGGAACATTGTTAATTTAACCATGTGTATATGTGCCTGAGGGTGTGTGTGTGTGTGTGTGTGTGTGTGTGTGTGTGTGTGTGTGTGTG